AAAAAAAAAAAAATCCCTACTTTGTACCCAAACCATCAGTGTTTCCTGCTTCCCCAGAAGTTTCTTCTCCCTGTGCTCCCGCAGTTTGCCCTGAGCCTGGATTGAGATGTCCGAGGTCTGTTTTTCTCTGGGCATTTTGACTCGCAAGGCTTCCCTAGCACAGATGGCAAGTTCAGGATGAGTCAAATATCCAGGGTTACGGAATAATAATATGACAGGCCCGGGGCTCACAGTGCTTTCCAGGCTGTTTCTCGGTGATAAAGGTTAACAGGAAGCTGCTTTCCAGTTTCTGTCAAGAGGAGGTGGTTTATTTTCCTCATCTCAGAGTATATCGTTATTTCCTCTGCCTTCCTGCCCCTTGTACAGCCAGACAGCGGAGAACTCGGCGCAAACGAATGCTGTCGCAGAGAACAGGATTGGCCCTCTCCTCTCCACTTTCCGTTGCTAGAGAGAGTCGGGTGGGGGGGAGCATTGTGTTTTTCTCATACACTCTTGAGAAAATTGTCAGGGTGAGGGGGGCAGTTAGTGAATGTCTTCACTTCTTAGTTCTCAAGAATTAAAAGCAATAAAGACATAAGGCATTTTGTCGGAAATTACATTCTTTCAGACCCCATAGATTTAGACTCACAATTATTACGGCAGGTCTGAGGTCACTCACTGTCAGACTCAAGAAACCTCTGCTGTTGTTCTGACTTTAAGATTTAAGGTGATCAGCAGCTTGCTTGTACAACTTCCCATGTTGTCAGTGAGCAAAGGGCAGAGGGGCAAGGCCTGGGGTGGAATGTCAGTGCCCCCCGGGGGCGGGGGGTGGATTTCCGGATGCCCAGGAATTGGTTATTTCTGAGGGCCTTCATTGTTCATTGCCCAGCTCACTGTCCCGTCCTGGAAACTCCACTCATCTGCGAGTGGGGAGAAGTGAACTTGAAAGCAGGGTCTTTGGCCTACACTTACTTACTAAGCCCCTGTGTGTGTGCCAGGCGCTGTATTAGTGCTGGAGATGCAAAAAAAAAAAAAAAAAAA